CCTATCACTAAACGATACTATCACTCCATGGATGTTTCATTCTTTGAGAATCAACCTTATTATCCCAATACCACCATTCAGGAGGAGAGTGAATATGAGAAGGAATGTTTGTCTTAGGATATTAAGTCCTCGCCAATCCACTCAGTCCCTAGTTTTGTCAACAATGCACCTGAAGCCGAAGTCCAAAGCGTCAATCCTACTCCTCCTATATCCTCACCTAATCCTCAATCGTCAGATTTACCTACAAACAAAGAGCTACATGTCTATTCTAGGAGAGAGAGGGCTTAACATCAAAATCAGGGAGAACATCAAACACTACCTGAACACAACCAAGAGTCCAATCCGAATCGAAGGAATGAAGGTAACACTTATTCTGAAATTTCGAGTGAACCTTGTCAGGATGATTTGAGTTGGCCAATTGCACTAAGGAAAGGAGTAAGATCATGCACTCAACACCCACTTCATAACTATATGTCTTACTTGGGTCTTTCACAGAAATTTCGTGCTTTTGTCACTAGTTTGGATGCTATCCAGGTCCCTACTAGCATCCAAGAAGCTCTCAAAGATTCATTGTAAAAGGCAACCGTTTTTTAAGAAATTCAATCACTGAAAAATAATCAAACATGGGAAATCACTGATTTGCCTCCACAGAAGAATCTAGTGGGATGCAAATGGATTTTCACTGTGAAATACAAAGAAGATGGGAGTATTAACAGATACAAAGCTCGGCTCGTGGCAAAAGGATTTACTCAGTCTTACGGTATTGATTACCAAGAGACATTTGCTCATGTTGCCAAACTCAACATTATAAGAATTCTACTATCTCTAGCTGCTAACCTAGACTAGCCCTTCCTTTAGTTAGATGTGAAGAATGCATTCCTAAACGGAGACCTGGCAGAAGAAGTGTATATAAAGATTTCCTCAGGCTTCGAAAATAAAGACACACAAAACAAAGTCTGCAAACAAAAAAGATCCCTCTATGGACTTAAACAATCACTGAGGGCATGGTTCGACAAAATTACAAAGGTGGTAAAACTTCATGGCTATTCTCAATAGCAAGCTAATCATACCTTATTCGTGAAAAGATCACTAGACGGTAAAATGTCTATCCTAATAGTGTACGTGGATGATATAATAGTTACAGGTGACTTCACAGATGAGATGATTGAGGTAAAGAAGAATCTTGCTAACTAATTTGATATTAAAGATCTAGGAAATCTCAAGTATTCCCTCGGAATGGAAGTGGCCAGATCAAGTACAAGAATCTCTGTTTCACAAAGAAAGTATGTCTTAGATTTACTCAACGAGTGTGGAATGCTAGGATGCAAACCAGTGGACACTCCTATGGAGACTACTTAAAAGTTCAAAATGGCAGAGATGGGTGTTCCGATGGATAAAGGAAGACATCAGAGGTTAGTAGGCAGACTCATCTACCTCTCACATACTCACCCACACATTAGTTTTTCTGTTAGTGTTTTGAGTTAATTCATGAATAACCCAAGAGAAGAACACATGGAGGCGATCAACCGGATCCTGAGATACTTGAATTTAATCCCTCGTAAAGGGTTATTCTTCAACAAAGGCTCCAGCCGAGAGATGTAAATTTACAGTGATGCTAATTGGATGGGTTCGGTTACAGACCGAAGATCTACATCTAGTATTGTACCTATGTGTGGAGAAATCTAGTCACCTGAAGGAGCAATCCCTCGTAAAGGGTTATTCTTCAACAAAGGCTCCAGCCGAGAGATGTAAATTTACAGTGATGCTAATTGGATGGGTTTGGTTACAGACCGAAGATCTACATCTAGTATTGTACCTATGTGTGGAGAAATCTAGTCACCTGAAGGAGCAAGAAACGATCTGCGGTATCAAGAAGCAGCACTGAATCTGAGGTTAGAGCTATGGCTCAAGGCATATGTGAAGGAATGTGGATTAGAAAACTTCTTGAAGAACTCAAAGTACCATTCAAGGAACCTATGAAGCTTTTTGTGACAATCAATCAGCCATCAGTATATTTAAAAACCCGATTCTTCACGACAAAACTAAACACGTGAAGATTGATCGTCACTTGGTTAAAGAGAAGATTGAAGACAATGTCATCAAACTTATCTACACACCAACCAACTCCCAAGTTGCAGACATACTAAGGTCCTACCTCGGAAAGGATTCGAAGACCTAAGTTCCAAGTTTAGGATGAAAAATATCTTCAGCCCAGCTTGAGGGGGAGTGGGGAAATAGGAGCTGTATTAGCAATTATTTCCTTATTTCAGTCATAAATAAATCTGATTTGGTTATGATTGATTGATTATATATTTAGATAGGAGGAAAATTAGTATGATTGATTGGTTGTATATTTAGATAGGATGTAAATTAGTTATTTCCTTATATGTAGAGATCTACTTGTGTATATATACATGGCTTTTCAGCCAACAGAAATAAGATTTCAGTTTATTCAAATCTTCAGAACAAAATGGCAATCTGCCATTATGTGCTTTGTTCTCTCATAAAATACCTAATTCGTAGTAATGTGAATAGCAGCTTGATTATCACACCACGAGTTCATAGAGTGGGGCTTATCGATGTCAATCTCCCCAAGTAAGTGATGTAGCCACATAAGTTCATAAGTTATTCATGTCATAGCTCGATATTTAGATTCTGCACTTGATCGAGCTACAACATTTTGTTTCTTACTCTTCCAAGAGACCAAATTACCCCTAACGAATACACAATACCCTATAGTAGAGTGCCTATCCACAGGAGAACCTACCCAGTCCGCATCTAAAAAACCCTCAACTCTATAATTACCATGGTCTCTATAAAGAATTTCACTCCCTGGAGCTCTTTTGAGGTATTTTAATATATGAATTACAGCATCACAATGTGAAGTTCTAGGAGACGACATAAATAACTAATAACACTTACTGGAAAGGCAATATCTGGACGAGTAATCGTGAGATAGTTCAATATTCCCACCAGTCTTCTATATTTCTTTACATCAACAAACACATCTCCATCTTCAAGCCCAAGTTTCACATTTGGTATCATGGAAGCATCAACTGATTTTGCTTCCAATAAACCTATCTCATCTAGTAGGTCTATTTTCTTTGAGACAAACAAATTCTTCTACCACTTCAAGAGACCTCTATCCCTAAGAAATATTTTAAGGGACCTAACTCCTTTGACTGAAAACTTGTGCCTAGGAAAGCTTTCAGCATACTTATGCCACTACCATCACAACCAGTAATCACAATGATTAATGACATCGTCAACTGACGAGTCAAAGGTATTTTGAATTTGATTAAAAAGTTTGTCATCCTCCATCAACCATTTTTTCCAAATTCAAGGATTAGTATTAGATTTTAGAGATGGATCATCAGTCAAGTGATCGCCCAAATCCACACTTGATACATACCTACGAACAATTCTCTTCCATTGATCATAATTCCTACTGCCCGTTAACTTTCTATATGTGATTTTTTAGGATGGGGTTACTGTGATTTCATTCACCACTTTCTTATCACTTTCGGCCATAATTAACATATAACCAGAGAAGACACAAAAGAAAACAACTCAAATTATCCAATAACAATGCAAGTCCAATAAAGAAGCAACCAAACAAATTAAAAGAAAACTGAGCCACTACTCAAGGCCCAAAAAGGTGACAACCCAAACAATTTGACCCACTGGATAAAGGCACAAATCCGAACTGATGAACTCCAAATCCAAACTGTAGAATTCCAAATTGACCCAAGTTCGGTAGACTTCCTCAACAGCCTTGTTCCACCGGTTTCTCTCAATTGATTCACCCACAGTAGGAGGAAGACGGCACGATGAAGTGCTCTCGTCGCTGATCGCCACACATCGACGGCGAGATGTCACACCGAAGCAAACCAAACTGCTCGAACCGGTTCGAACCCAAAGAAAACGAGGTTCGTTGCAGAGTAAGAAGAAGACGATTGTTACACCACCGCCGAAGCCTCTTCCAATCTTCCCCGCCAATTAATAACCAAGTGTCGATTTCTTCTACCAAAATTATCGACCCAAACTTTTGCCACCACCACCGAGAATAATCCCCAAATTTTCAGAAACTCTCAAATCCTAGCTTTGATACCATGTTAATTGATTTGGAAAAATCTCAATTTCTCATATATATTCACCAAGTACACACACACACACACATATATGAATAGGATATTTCTCAAAAGGAAATAATCCTCTATATCAAGGAAATAATTCTAGACTTTATATTCCTACCATACATCACATTTATTCCCAAATTAGGCACATAGTTCATAACAGACATATTAAAAGAAAAAGTGAAAAAATCAAAGCTTTCAAATGGATCAAAAGGGACTCTAGCCGAGGGAGTATGTTGAAGCTATATGTACACCACAAACCTTACGACAACTTTTATTGCTTATCAACTGTTCAAAAGATAATTGAGTTCAACTAGTTAAAGGTTACCGATTTTATGTGATGCACGCAAGCATACAAAGGGAAAGCTAAGAGAGAGACGATGTGTAGACACATATCACCCATTGAGTTTTCTTAGTGTTATATATAAGATAGAATCAGGTTTGACCATTACTGAAGAATTAGGTGACTGCAAAATGATAGGGTTCCTGCATAGGTTCAATTACGTAGTATAGAGGGTTAGAGTCTGGGAGAAAATCGAGCTTTAAGAACTTCATGCCCTGGAGAATATAAAGGTTCAGTGCCCACAAAATTGCATTATTGAATAGCTCCCTGCAAATGATATCAAAAGGAAATTGGAGCTTCAAAACTTCCTTCCCACATTTGTAAAATAGTCAGGGCTTCATAATACCCCCTAAGCGAAACGAACTTTCGCTAGCCATCCTCTAGCACAACAGGCTAAAAAAGAGAGTGGAAAAAATATGAAAAAGAAAAATAAAAGAAAGACAAGGAGATGACACTGCCCATCAAATAGAAGCATGTAATGGCGAGTTCGATTAAACAGCGCATAATTTATCAATACTAACCAGCAAGCTATTACGATCACTTCGCAAGGGGAAGCCGTCATCAATTCTTGCTTGAACTGAAGAAATAACTGTTGACAGTAGCTCTGCAGACATCCGTGAATATCTATACAATGACAAAATTATGCAAATTTTATACAACTAATTGGTACATGATTACACTGGAAAAAAAGGTATCCATATGCACGTCTCTATTTAACCGAAGTTCGATCTTCTAGACTCCGTGGCTCACAATTTTTAGATCCCTACTTCTACAAACATATAGCCTAGCCCATAAAGTAGTTCTGATTTTTTCCAACCGTATAACTTTGGAAAAAAATAGGCACGTAAAATTTTTCTAGGAAAAAAACTACTATCACAGGGAAACCAGGTTGAGTAGTAGACTATAATGGTTCAAAATCTTCATAATGTTAGACCACAAAATGAATATGGGGTAGAGAAAGAACTACTCTGATAATAAGCCCCGGACTCCTCCTTATTTCCTACTCAAGGAGACTATTTCAAGAACTTAATGGTCACTAATACCCAAAAGAACTACAAAACTAGGGGGTAAGATCTGAGGGGATAATCCTATTATCAACTAACATCTGGCTGAGCCCATCTTAGATTAGTTCTATTATATTAAGTGCATCAACACATCTGAAACGACCGAAGTGGTTGATTGAGTCTAACAACACCAAGAGATCATTTAATTGCAGTATGCAGTTGAAAGAACTTACGGTGTGGACGATATCAAAAGCATCAGAATTCTGAATGACAGCGCCAGCAGTCTGTTGTGGGTTTCATGTTTGATTAAATATAAAGTACCTAACAAATGTAACTTTAACCATTTATACTTCTAGGTGAAGCTAAAATTTGAGAATTAATGGTGAAAGAAACCAAAGACATTGCGAAAGAACAACAGAAAGCACACTCACTTTCAGCAAAGGTCCAAAATAGAAGATATAGATAAATTTCTTTGCAATACCTGAATGTAGCTGCATTAATATATGACCAAGAGAGCTAGAAAGTGCTGTAAAAGACCCACATCTTGAGGATTCCCTGAACTCTGCTACCTGAAGAAAAACAGATGCTGGTCCATCCAACATTGCCATAACAGTAGAGGCCGCCGCAATCCGCACCTAGGCAACATAGTAATACATCTTAGTAGAAGTATCGGGGAATTTAATTAAGAAGTATTAAACACATTCAATACTTCATGGCCTGGATAACGAAGAACGTGTTATACACTTGTCATTATACAGTTTTAAGAAAACAAGAAAGGAGGATAGAGTCAACAATAGAAAAATAATTAATCAATTATTATTGCGAGTAATAGATAGAAACCTTTAAAGAAGGATCAAATAGCAAGCAACTCATCAATGTAGTTCCATACTTCCTACAAATAAGAAACAAAAGTTTAATGTGAAGAAGGCAAAATATGAAACGAGACTCATAACCTAGCTTAAATGTCACACAATCAAATTAACATACCACCATACAAATAAAAAAATAAAAATAAATTAAAAAAGAGGAGAAAAAAGATTCACCTTTGCGATAGCACATCACTGGACGGCAAAAGCATTGTCCATTGAGCAGTGAACAATTTTGGATCAGCTCGGCAGAGATCCTTCCATCAAAATTCAAGAGTTAATGAAATTTTTTATTTGCCAACAGAAACAGCAGTTTCGCTGAAAATATAGCCCTGTTTAGGCTCCATTTTTCCAAAACTCATTTTCAACTACACATTCTCACATAAAATAATATAACACATGAACCTAAAACTTTTCCTTATTTTTAACCACACATTATTCAGAAAATCACTATTCCAAAACACATTCCCCCCCAAAATCTCATTGTAATGGAGCCCAAATAGGGGCATATTAATGAGTATCTACAGCAAAAAGAAAAATCTTTGGTTGTGTGCACAAAAAACAGCATCATTTTTAACTATGTGCACTTAAATGATCATCTACTGATGAGAAACTATTTCATCCAATGACATAAAGTGACAGACAATAAAATCCGAAATAAACCATCAAAGCTGACCCTCAATGCAACCCACCATTACCCATAAGTTAAGTTGACTATCAACGTTCTCATAACAGTCGTAATCCCGACTGCATATTCTTCATGATCAAAATGACAAACCAGGAAACACGTAAGTGCTTTTGCGATAGCAATACTATGGATAACTACAAAATGCCACTTATTTAGGTGGCAAATGTGGAAATGGAACAATTTAATTTTATAACTAAAACTTGTGTACCACCTATGTAGCACCCGAAATTTTTAGAATGAAATTTATTTGTTTTTATTTTTATATGTTATATTTAGAAAAGTTGGGGACTAAAATGAAATAGGTTTTAAATTCCTATTTTATTTAGGCTAAATAATTAGAGATTGATGGAACGAGGTTTAGTATATCAATATTGGACTTGTATTATAGGTCGTAATTAATTAGAGGTCTATGACTCGAGAAAAAGTTAATTCGGATAAGGCTCAAAATATTGAAGTTTAAAAAAGTTATTATTAGTATTTAATTTAAATTAGAATTCACCAACTTTTAAAGGTTGATAGCCACGTGTACTTTTCTATAGATATAAGGCAAAAAAAAAAAATTGGTTGGTTTAGGATTTGACGTATTTGATATATGAAAATCCTATTTTAATTCTGATAGTGGTTGATTGTCATTTTAATCACATTTTGATTATTATTAATGTTAATTGATAATTATAATCCTATTTTGATATAGTTCGATCTCCACTTATTGTTTGCCGAATTAAATTAAAATATTAGTCTTCACTTTTATTAGATATTCTTTTTCTTATTCTCGACCACATTGCATGAGTAGATATGGTTGACTATTGTGATTAGGATACTTCTAATTAAGCAAAATCCTAACTAAACTAATCTAGAATTTATTATATAAATTATGAGGTAATTTCCCATCTCCTGCCACGGCATGCGTTTAAAGATTTATTTATTTTAAAAATTATTTTCACCTACTAGAGATGAGATAAAAAATTTTGAAGTCATTTTTATCCTATATTTATTTTGGTAAAGGTTAAAAGTAAAAATGTAAACCTATTTGTGGAATATTCAAGTACCAGCTTTCAATCAAAGTATATGTGTCATATCATGGTTTGGTTTACCAAAATTTAAATTCTATCCAAGTTGGCAAACATTTTTCCACCATCATTTTACCATGACTCAACTACTATTTTTTTACTATAAATAGTGTGCAATTGTCCCATAATTCTACACCAAGAAATTTTACACGGCAAACAATAGAGAGAGAGAGAGAGAGTAATTTTGAAGAGTCAATCACTATATTATTAACACAGTCGAGAAAGTAAAACAAGCCCTTGTTTGAGTCCCATTTTGGGGTAAAATGCATTTTAAATAATAGATGGAGAATATGTGGTTAAAAATTAAAGAAAAGTTTTGAATTTACGTGTAATATTATTTTATTGAAGAATGTGCGATTAAAAATGAGTTTTGAAAAAATAAATTTTTAAAAAAATGGAGCTCAAACAAGGGCCAAATATTGGAATTTATTCAAAAATTCATTTAACAAGGTAAGATTTATGTGCAAGTAGTTCTTTTTTTATGCTTTTATACATTCAATTAAATATGCATGAATTGCCAATAGACATTCAGGTTCTTTAGAAAGAAAGATGAAATCCGTCGGGAATTTAGGAGGGCCTAAGAGAGTGGTATAAAGTGTTTTTTTATTTTTTATATATAATTGTGTATGAAAACTACATGTATCTTACTGGATATTTTAAATATTCACTCTTACAAAATTTTACTGGTTAGTTCGGGTCGATTGAAATGGTGGCGAGATGTTATGCGGACTGCCTAGTGGATTCTCAAAGTCATGTAATTTAGTTAGCTAGTTGAATATTTTTTAAGATACAAATTTCTATATTTTGTTTAAATTTATGGATATTTCAGCATATTATTTTTAAAGGAATTTATGTTTTATCGTTCCGTATTTAAACCAAACAAAAGCGAGTTTATGGTAACACTCCAAGATTTATGAAAATTTGGGGTGTTACAGCTTAGTTCTATACATTTAGAATATCTATATATTTAACATCTTATACATACAGTCAATGAATTACAGAACACATTAGCGTCACTATCAGGCCATCCACGCATGTACACTCGGACAGCTTGCAGTATTCTATTAATTTCCATGCTTCTGATTTTAGAAAAAGGAAAGGAATGTTAACAGGAACTGACTGTATCTAAGAAACATTAAAATACACCTCAAGGCTGGTCATACAGGATATCAAAGCATTTCGACAACTTCATGAAACAGGAAAGAAGTTTAGATTGGGAAACAAGAAGAAGCTAAGAAACCTGAATACAAACAATCGCACCCAGTCTAGCCTTAGCAAAATGGTGATTGCAAGCATCTGTTGCTGGTCCATCATTATCACTGCAATCTGAATCTGATGATAAGCTCAACTCGTGGTGAGAAGAAAGCAGAGATTCCTCATCTTTAAGCTGTATATTTTCCAACAACTTTTTTCTCAAGTGTGGAGGCTTATAACGGCTACTTTTCGATTTACTTGACTCTGCGAAATTCAGGTTTTTGCTTGTTGAACCAAGATGGGACTTGTTAGTAAGGCCATAATGAAAAAATACCCTCAATGCTGCAACATAACCAGCCACCTGCATACCACAATGAATCAAAATAATAAAATGCATAGCGAATCATATTTTCTAAGAGTGCATGATCATAGACACCTGCTAATATGAGATTCTTTGTTCATTATCCAAGAGGCATTTTCTTACATGGCCTAAAAGAGAACCTCTAGGATCCTCTAGAAGCAAGTGCAGGCAGTGCAGAAGCTCAATATAAAACCTGCACGGAATTGTGGTGCCACCAATTCTTTGATCAACACGTTCATAATCCAATCTCTTCGAAAATATAACATGAAGAAGAGGAAAAAGATTTTTACATGGCCATGATAGTATCTTCTACAAGGATGGTTTTAGATGCCAAGACATCCATAATTTTGCTGAGAACCTACAGAAAGTTAAAACCTTAAGTAGCCATTTTAAGTAGGCATTACCAAACATGTAATCTAGTAAACATACCTCAATTGATGACCGCCAAATCTGAAATGGTAAGGAAGAACGGACTCTTGAGTATACTTCACCAATCATAGTAAATGCAATTGTTTGGACTTCTAACACGTTGTATCCAAATGCTTTGTAGTTGTCACTTAAACAAGATGAGTATATTGACTCTTCGTGAAAGCATGTGACCACTTGAAGAAGGAAGTTCAATAGTTGCTCAGTTTCTGATAATAGAGCTATTGACTGGTATAAATTAAAAAAGCACCTGGCGACAATAGATCACTATCGTCATTAGACAGGAATCACAAATAACAGATTTGTATAACATGATTGGAGTAATTGATGGCTCCCAAAACCTCACCCAAAAAGGAAAATCAAACTTTCATTGAAGAGAAACCAATGAAAGGCTTTCATAAAAATTCTTGTGGAATCAAAAAGATTAAGAAAAAATAAATCTGGGAAGAACTTGAGAAGACGCAGGCGAGAAGCAAGTGACATTTTGGGGGCTTACACCAGGATTGAGATGAAGCTGTCTGTAAACGTGTTCTTATAAAATATAAATTCAAATAAAAATGGGATAGATTTTCATACCGTATGCTTTCTAAGCAAAGTTTTGTGGCTTTAATAACTGTAACATTCCCAACAAAAATGTTGTTTGTTTGGGCTTTGTCAAGGAAAATTTCCGTAATCCTTCTAAAAGAATCAAGCACAAGGGCCCAAGATGTTGAATTTATTTGTAAAGAAGCACAGACGCTGACACTGTGGATCTGCAACAGATAATGAAAAGGTAATATTACACACACTACAGATGTTCCACATCTAAGAATATTTATGAAAACAGTAAATCAGATGTCTAAAATAATAAACACTACAACAAAATAATTGCAACTACACTAGTGAAATTTTGAATAGAGAAGGATTACATAAATGCAATTTATTCTAGGGAAATCAGCATTTCGTAATCATCACAATATAATCATATATTTTACTATACAGTAACTTATTTTAACATTGAAACATGTTATAATAGTTTAAAGTCAAAACTTATCATTGATATCTAAAATAATATGGAAATAAGCAAAGTTCAAAATATTCCAAACTCAATATACAGTCAGAAAATCAAGGAAAACTGCAGGTCATACATTCACATCAGGTATTTTACACAGGCAGAATTGCACATAAGAGCATGTTTGGCTAAGCTCCAAAAAAAAGTAATTGTTTCTTTTAACAAGTAACTTTTTTTATTTCCAAACATATTTGGACAACTTATTTTTCTCTTGAATTTAAATAAAAAAATGTTATTTATTTTGGAAACCAACTAACTTATTTCTTAACTTATTTCTAAGTTATATCAATTAAAAATATATTTATTTCAACCTTACTATAAGAAAAAAAATTAAGCTTCGCTTGAACCCACTTGATGTTATCATCTTACTGACTATTCTATCATTGTTTAAAATGAATTCTACCTGCTACTCCTTGCTAATTTATATTTTTATCCCTTTTTGTAGTCCCAACAAGCCAATCTCTCATCCTTTCGAGCATTTGTTCTCTACTAGCTTATATATTGCTTCTCTTTGGAATTATTCTTGGATCAGCAATGTTCTCTTTTATTCTCCAACTTCAAATGAACTTTGCAACCTCAACTATTTGAGCAATGGAACTGAATGTGAATTTGCAATCCAAACCCAAGAAAACACTCACCAAGTGGGACAGTTGAATGAAGGATAGAATCACGTCCTCGAGTCCTTCAGTGTGAGAAATGTTTCGAGCCAACTCCAACAGGAACATCACGTCAGACGTGACCTAAAAGGAAAATTCAACAAATTGGAGTGAGAAAGTCAGAAGAATCAAATCAAAATTCACACGGGAAAGTAGAATTTTTGATAGATACCTCATGCGGAGGAAGGTCAGGTGCGGCAGCGATGAGAGAATCGGATTGGGAAAAAATGAGATGATTGAGGAGGTGTAAGACGGTGGGGCGAGGCGGCGACGCCAAGGTCTCGTCCCTCAGAGTTAAAAACGCCATCCTCCATGACCTCACTGTCGATGACATTGAAGGCAACGTACCGCCTCTTCTTCCGAAAGATTTCTTCCTTTTCCGTTTATTTTAGAAATCAGCTATGAACTGCTAACGGAAAAAATGCTTTTAAGTTTTGGAATTGGCTTCCATGAAGTGAATTAAAAAAATATAACCTACAGTATTATATGTTGACAGTTTTTGGAAGATATTTTTATGTAAAAATATATTTTTAAATAGTAAATTGATGAAAAATATGTGGTTGAAAAATAAGGAAAAAAATTTTATTTACATGTAACATTATTTTAATAAAGAATGTGTGGTTGAAAAGAAAAAAGAGAAAAATACATTTTGACAAAAAATGGTACCAAACGGGGCCGCAATTTTTTCTTGTCTTTGACAATGTGCTAAACGAATATCACTTTAATCATACAAATATATTTTTATATTGTTGCCATTCTTGGACTACCCATCTGGTTTGGACTCGACTGACTGGGTCTAATTTTTAATGTCGTTTAGTTTCTTTTAAGTATTTTAGTAGGAAAATTCAAAAAATTGGAAAACAATTTGCACTAACTACGTTGAGGGGCTACATGCCAAGACAGGCCTATGTAGACTAGCTTATCTCATAGGGCAACCTTTTTTGCTAATAAAAGTAGCGAGCTTGAATCGACTTAGTCATTTGAACATCACTAATATTTATCTTTGATGTTTTCTAAAAAATATTATTCTCCCCATTTTCATTTTCAGGTAATGGGGCTCAAACGAGGCTTAATATGTCTCATTCTTTCATTCATATGATAGTCATTCCTGGTTGATTGATGGATTTGTTTCGATTATACCCTGACCTCCATAAGTCATCCCGACTATTTGTAGCAAGTAATCGTAGCCTTTTATATTTGAAATTATGTGTAAAATTGTGATTTATTCCGTCAAAAAAAATTATAATTTTTGGCTAATTTATATTTGTGCTTCCCGATTCAAATGCACGCATCTAATGTGTTTTTTATTGTGTTGTATCTATGGTTAGTTTTGTACTAGGTACGAGCATCTTCTTATTCCTATGGATTATTCGGAAGCATCTGCAAATCAAATGCTCGATTCTTGTAACTTTGAAAGTGTTCACGAAAGCATAAGCGAACCATATAATGCGTTCATTCATAAAAAATAAAAAGTCAAAAACAGGCGGACAGCAGAAATTGAAGCCAAACAGTGCACATTGATCATCGTAGAAGAATAAGTGATCCTAAAGTATCTAAAAATCATAATTTCGATGCTACTCATGTTCATCAACACACAGTATGTTCTGAATCTGAGTCTTCTACTTCAAATGAAAAATCGACAAATCTTCTTCTTTCTGAACTACGAGGAAGTATTAACTTGTTAAATATACCAATTGCATATGTATTGTCGACATGCAGTTATTGTGAACATTGTGGTGAACATAAATTCTATAGGAAAAGTAAAGTTTTTTGTTGCTCTGGTGGAAAAGTTAAACTATTTTGCCTAATTCGCCAACTGAATTATATGACATATTTACTTCTAAAAAGCCTACATGTATAGAGTTCAAAAAGTTGTCACGCGGATATAATAATCACTTTGCGTTCACTTCATTTGATGGGAAGTATGATAAAGAACTCTTTCAAGCATACAAAGGTATTTATACATTTAGAGTTTAAGGACAAGTATATCATTATGTAAATAAACTTATGCAGGAAAATAATACGCCTTCTTATATGAGTTATATTTTTATGACACGGATAATGAGCTTGAAAATCATATAAAGATTTCAGAAAACTTAGTTGAATCTAGTATAATTATTATAATTGAAATCTTGAAAGTAAATCCATATGATAGATTCTTTAGATTTTTAAATGATATAACAAATTTGCACAATCATTGCATACAAATAAGATGTGATCAAGGAATTGATCAAAGAGTTTTCAATACTTCTTCAGTGTCTTAAGTAGCTGTTATATGGGTTGAGGATGATGCAAATACGAATACTCGTGTTTGTGACATTATTATATATGGCCATTCGAGTGATTCCCATAGAGTTCATTATTGTTATGGTTGTTGTGATCCTTTGCAATATCCTTCGATTTTTCTATTTGGAGAATCTAGTTGACATGAAGGCATACAAAGATACAAAAACATAAACGTCCAGGCTCATAATTTGCCCAATTGTGTTGCGGTTCCTAACACAATAAATTTTGAAATTGAAATTATTGAAAAAGAGGCTGCATGTTTGTTCATATAATTTTTCTTACTATTTCTAATTTTTACAATGTAATTGTTGTTGCAGAATATGAATTTTTTCCTCTTTTTGCCATGAAGTGCTTAATGGAACAAAGAAACAATTTCAAGTTTCTTGTCGCGAATACTATTCATACAAGTTACAAATTAGGCATTCTGGTAAGTTTGTATTGCTTCATGTTGGTAGGCTTTTTCAACAATATGTTGTAGATATGTACGTTAAGATTGAAAGGTTAGATTATTTTCGAATGAATCAGAAGCAAATTATCAAGGTATTTGTGGATAGTATTCAGAATGGAGAAACAAGATGATACAAGATAAGAAAGAAATTTGTTTTATCACAATCTTTTACATGTGGTCCTAGGGATATGCTAAGAAGATACTTAGGTGTGATGGCTATTGTTCAACGTTTTGAAAAATCAGATATATTTTTAACTATAACATGCAATCCAAATTGTCCTGAAATTAAGCAAGGACTAAAACAAATCGACCAGATCTAATTACACGTATATTTAAAGCAAAATTAGAGGAATTAAAAAATGATTTATATAAAGAAAATATCTTCGACACTATCGTTGCTCATGTATACATGGTTGAATTTAAAAAAAGAGGACATCCTCGTGCACATTTGTTGTTGATTTTTAATTGTGCCCATAAAATTGCATGTGCTGAACAAGTTAACAAGATAGTGTCTTGTGAAATTCCTGATAAAAATAAGTATTCTCATCTTTATTCTATTATTGTAAAATATAATATGCATGGTCCATATGAATTCCTTAATCCACAAAATGTATGTATGCTCAAAAATACTGGTTGTAAAAATAAATACCCTAGATATTACTGTAATACTACTATGTTTGGTAATAATTCATATCCATTATATAGACGTCGTAATAATGATATTTGTATTAAAGTTGGAGGCCACATGTTAGACAATTGATGAGTTGTCTCATATAATCCTTATTTAAGTGCAAAATTTGATTGTCACATTACCGTTAAAGTATGTTCATCTATTAAAGTTGTAAAATATTTTTACAAATATGTATACAAAGGACATAATCGTATTAATTTTTTTGTTGGCAAAAATCAAAATATGGAAGTTGATGAAATTTCTGCTTATCATTCTGTTAGATGGATATTTCCACTTGAAGTTATGTGGAGAATTTTTTCTTTCAACCTATCAGAAATTTATCCGACTGTTTATTCTTTACAACTCTATATTGAAAATCATCAACAAATAAGATACACCGATAAAGATGATTTATCTACTATTATTAATAATGAAAATACGAGGAAAACTATGTTAACTAAATTCTTTCGCATGAATAAAGCAAATAAATTTGCTCGAACATTGTTGTATAAAGATTTTCTACCACGTCTTATATGGAATGCATAAAAGAAAATTTGGACTCCTAGAAAGCAACAACTTGTTATAGGACGAATTGTCACTGCGAATCCAAGTGAAGGAGAACAATATTTCCTTTGTATTCTTCTTAATCACATTAGAGGGCCAACATCATTTGATGATTTGAAAACTTCGAATGGGATAACCTTATGCTACATATCGAGAAGTAGCACTTTTACATGCTTTTTAAGGGGAGACAATCATTGTGAAGAATGTTTATCCGAATCTATTGTGTACAACATGTCTAGTTCTTTAAGACGTCTTTTTGCTATAATACTTATGCTTTGTAATCTTAATCATCCAAAGTTATTGTGGGATAAATTTAAAGCCTATATGATTGATGATTATGTACATCAAAATATATTTGTTCAAATTGCTGAAGTACGAGCTTTGGAAGACATTAGTTCAATTTTAGAACCCATAGGTAAAGACATCAATGATTATGGAATAGTATCATTTCCTGTAGATATAGATGATGCCGATAGATTGAATCGAATGGTTGCAGAGGAAATGATGAATTTTGATGTTCAAGGGGGCCTTGCTTGTGTGGAAAAATTAAATAAAAGATAACAAATTGCATACGATACGACTATGGAAAAAGTAAAAATTGAATCAAGTGGTGTTTTCTTTATTGATAGTCCGGGGGGATGGGGAAAACTTTTTTTATACAAGCACTTCTAACTAGTGTAAGATCTCAAAATTTAATTGCTTTAGCAATAGCGTCCTCTGGAGTACTTGCATCTCTTTTACCTGAAGGTCGAATAGCACATTCAAGATTTAAAACTCCTTTTAAAACAGTTGGTGAAACTAGCTGCTCTGTTAGTAAGCAATCAGCTTTGGAAACTTGTTAAAAATGTGTAGGTCAATAATTTGGAATGAAGCATCCATGATAAATTGTCGTGCAATCGAAACTGTGGAGAAAATGCTTAGAGATGTTATTGATTGTAACTTGCCTTTTGATGGGAAGTCATTGTTCTCGGAGGAGATTTTCGACAGGTTCTATCGATAGTACCAAGAGGAAAAAAAGAAGACATAATGAAAGCTAGCTTAGTTTTCTCATATTTATTGCCTTTGTATTTAAGCTACCTTTGGTTGAAAATATGAGAGCAAAATTAGATCCCGTGTTTTGCGATTACTTATAATTGGAGATGGAATAGAAAATGAATATAGTTGTAATTGCATTCAACTTCCAAATAATATAATTTTACCATTTGAGGATGAGATTACATCTCTAAAAAATTTGATACAACATGTTTTTCCAAATATAGAAGCATATTTTGATAATTTACATGACATGATAAACAAGTTATTCTTACTCCTACAAATAAATGTGTTGACTATATTAACAAAATTTTGCTCGACTAAATTTCTAGTGAAATTTTCACATATTATAATTTTGATAGAGCAAGTGACAAATTAGAACAAAGCTTGCAGAAAGATTTTTTAAATAGTTTGACACCAAATGGTATTCCACCACATG